TTATAAGGCCGCTTCGGTCTTCTGTATCGTTTCTCCACTTCCTTTCTTTCCTGCTGAGAATCCTGGCTTCTAAAAATACAGCAGATCTTCCCAGGAGTAACAGGAAACTTTAACGTAATTTGTCAGTAACTGATAAATTCCTGATAAAATACAATAGTATCAAATATTTACACATGGATTGACTAAATTAGCAAGATTGACTTAATAGGGGTACTTAAAACATTGATTGCATCTTAGACTAAAAACTTGACCTTATTAGTCAGGGTCTCAGTAGAAAACAGCTGGTACATTTGACAGACGATAACTCAACGGGGCTTATTATCAAGGAATACTTACTCATAAGCTGAATAATAAGGACACCACAAGAGATGCCCAAAGACCCAGTGGAAGGAGAGAGGTCATTTGAAAAGACAGAAATAGACGGAATTGGTGACATTGGGCGGGACAATGACCTGTTGATGTGGAGATGCATCCGGGTGGGGACACGGGACAATCTAAGGCAGATCTTAGCATGAACTCAGTCTCCCTGCAATCTCCTGCTGGATTTTCACCCTCTTAATGGTGTCTATGCGTCTTCTCATGCTGTTTTCCAATGCTCCGAAAACAGTAGTAGCTAAGGCCACCTTATTAAAACACAGGGCAGAGAAGGTCATCCTCTCAATCTCCTCCAGTGATTTCCAGTTTGCTCACACTGAAAGTCTATGGGAGAAAATGCAGGCGTGATCTGCCGATCAGCCTACTTGGCACACTTCTAAATAAGAAGCAGGGCACACCATACCACAGAAGTCAGAACACGGAGTTCTGAAGTAGCATGAGTAGCCGGTGGCTGGCCTGCGAACTAGGCTGCACGCTCCAGGTCTCCTTTAATGTGCTTCTTCCACGTGGAGACCTGGCGGCAAGGGTCTCACTATCCAGTCCGAGGTAATGTGCTAACCAACCACAGTCAATAGGCGTCCTCGGTACAAGTGGTCGCTCGCGTGCGCTAAAGCAGACGCCAGTCCCTGAAACAGTCGCTGCAGCGGTTTATCTTCTCGCCCCTTACCAACCCACCGGCATTGCCGTCTTGCCACACTCCAGCCACGCGGCAAAAGCCAGAGCCCTTAGTAAGATTCTCAAGGCTCTTCAGGTTAGAGACACTCTCATTATCCTCTTACTAGCCCTTCTCCCAGATTCTGTCCTAGCCAGGCAGCCTTAAAGCCTCAGCTCTCCACGTCTTCCTACGACATCTGTGGGGCTCCGTCTCCGTTTTCTCTCTGGTACAGCTTTCTCTTGCCACCCTTTTCTAAATTGCAGAAATTCCCACACCCTTTCTATCCCCATTCACCAGTCAACTTTTCTACCCAGCAATTACCAACCAAGGTGCAATCTATCTTACCGGTGGTTATTTATCTAATCGTTTCCTTTTCCAACAAGAAAGTAAACTTCATAATGAGAACTTCCGTTCACAAAAGGAAGGAGCTAACAAACATTTATTGGATTCAAGAATGAAATGATAAGATTTAAGAAGCAATAAAGTTAATGTGTCTTCCATATTCATTCAAAATGTTCATGTATTTTCACCGGTTTGTATGTTTTCCTAACAGAATGGTTATTAATGCCAGACTCAGGCTGTTCTACTACATATTGTCTGTGGCTAAGTAAATTTGGAGGCAAAGGTCAAAAATAAAGGAAAAGGGATATGGGCCTAGGCCCACGGAATCAGACCAGGATTTGTATCCGGAAGATCCCACTTGATAGTGCATGCAATTTAACCACCACGTGTTTCTACTATTGGAAAGACTGCTGCCAGTGGAAAGAACAAGTGGCTTAGGATGCCCATCTAGTTATGACTCTGGGCAAGCTATTTATTGCTCAGTCTTGATTTCCTCACCAATAAAAGAGACTACTCCTTTACAGAGTTCCTGTAAAATGTGTAGTAAAGCATCTGAAACAGAATTCATCAGACTGTCCCTTTCTGTCCCTAATACAGGGCAGTCCTGAATTCCCTGTCTAAGACAACCCTGTTATTTGCTAAGGTATCTACTTGAGAAAAATGTTTTCTCGTGACTACTGCCGTCTTAAAGATGCTGGGGGTAGTTGTGTTTCAATAGTACTGATAATTCATATCACTAGACGACAAAACCAGAAACATATTCCTATTAGCAAGATTTCACCCATGGCTACAGATTCCTGAGGAAATGGGAGGCAACAGCGAGGACTGCCAAATCATGGGGTTTCTCCTGCATCCCATTCTGCTTCCTGTTACAGGTGGAATCTCATTTCGATGAGGCGAACTTTAAACATCTGTTTCTACATACTGAGCTTACTTTTTCTAACGGATGGGGCCACAGTACTTTGTCAACTTGACTAAAACAAAATCTTAAAAGTGAAAATTCCTCCCCCCCCCTTTTTTTACAAATACTATAGAAATTAGGGTTTTTCCCCCTTAATAAAGAGGAACTCTCTTTTGTAAGTGTTATACCTTAGCCAAGGCTGCGTCCAAGAAAATAAGCCAAGAGTTGGGTTGGTAGGTAGCTGACAAAGTAAGCCGGACAGTAATAGAAAATAAAAAATAAAGAATGTAAAAGCCTCTCAACTAAGTCTGTTAGGACCAAAACTGGAGCCAGAGTTCCCACATGAAAACTCACCCATCCCCTTGAGGCCTGCGTCACACGCTGCCTCCTCCCCAAAGCTTTCCCAGCTCCCTCTAACCGTAATCCCGCTGTACCTGTGTTTCTGCTTGTGCTGAACCTGAGCCGGAGCATTTAACAGCGTCCTGTACGGATAGTTGTCTGCCTTGTTCCATCTTTCCCTCCACCCAAGACTGTGAGCTCAGATATTAGGACAAAGAATGATTCTATTTTTATGTCCAGCACCCGGCCTAGACCCCAAGACATGGTTATGTTTAGTGAATGGAATCTAATGTATACGTGAAGTGATTTGCTCAGATTGAACATTTTACCTCATCTGAGTGCTCCTTGAGGGCAAAAAGCATCATTTAATGTTCTCAAGATTTGGTACATGGATGCTCACTGTTACACGTTGGTTGAAAAAACAATTACTTACCGAAATTAATGTCAAAGTTGATGAGACCAAAGCCACCTGTTTAACCCCTTATTTCTCCCAGGACTTTAATGCACACACAAAGTGATTGCATGCGTCTAAAATACTCTGTGAATAGCAGTGACCAAAACATGCCTGTGCTCCAGGAACCCAGTCTAGAGCTCCTCACTCTGGCCATTAATTAAAACACCAACAACTAGGAGAGACAAGGGTGAAGTTCCCAGGGCAGGGCCTTGGAAGGACTGGGTCTGATGAGCTGCCAAGGAAGGTTATCCAGAACCTGAGCCCAGACAGCAAACTGAAACAGGGCTAAGAGAAGGAGAAAAGGGACCGTGGCCAACCATTCCCCAGAAACAAGAGTTTTCGATCTGAAACCCAGGTTTCCGGCCCATAAGAACTGGCTTTAGCCTCTTGCTAGCCCTGGCATTTCCTCCCTGGATTGCATCTACACCCCCTCAGCCAGCTGCCGGTGCAAGGCTCTGGCTGATTTTCAGTTGGTCTTGAATGCACTGCCAAGTTACAAATGTGTTCAACTCTGACGCCCTTCTGATTGTCCTGGTTATCTTCCCAGCACCCCGCCCTGCCCACTCCAGGCCTTCTTTCTCCTTTTCTGCTGCCCCAGGAAGCTTCAAGCTCTCTGGGGGAGCTGGGGGGACTCTGTTTCCTTTTCTCTGGTGGAGTCTGGCCACTCCAGGGTCTCCTGACAGGTCGAAGGTAACCACAGGGCACCATTTGGTACTCCCGCTTTCTCAACTCCCTTTCCATGAATCCACTGGTTTGGGGGTTTTGAGGTCAGTGACTCTCCTCTTCCCCAGAGTTCCTGGAAGAACTAACAAGTGCAACTCTTCTCTCTCTCTCTCTCTCTTCTCTCTGTCTCTCTCTCTCTCCTTCCCTCCCTCCCTTCCTTCCTCTTTCTCCTCTTCTCTCTCCTTTCTTTCCTTTGTGTATGTGTGTGTGCATGCATGTGTGTGGCAGCCTGAAGTCGAAGTTGGGTTTCTTTCTGTAGTTTATTGATGCCGGATCTTTTCCTGAACCCAAAGCTTGCCAGTTCAGGCTAATCTGGTTAGCCGGCTTGTCCCGGGAATCCTCTGTCTCTGAATGTTGAGTTCTAGGATTATAGACAGCCTGACTCTTTATGTAAGTTTTGGGGATCTGTTCTCCAATCCTCACGTTTGTTCAGCCAGCACCTTATCGGAGCAATAGCCCTAGACCCTTGTGGGGTTTTTTTTTTTTATTGTTTCCAATAGACCATAGTAAGACATTATTCCTTTTTAAAAAAGAAAAATCTATGAAGCACTCTGATAAACCGTGGATATAAAAGACTGGCTTAAAATCTCCCATTTGGGATAGTCACAACTGAGGCCAGGCATAAGTAAGACATTAAACACCTAAAGTGCGGCCATAGTTACTTCCCTCATTGCGCTGACAGAATAACTGACAGAAGCCACTCACAGTACCAGAGGCTACAGTCCACCCTGGTGAGGGGGGCACAGTCCACCCTGGTGAGGGGGGCACAGTCCACCCTGGTGAGGGGGGCACAGTCCACCCTGGTGAGGGGGGCACAGTCCACCCTGGTGAGGGGGGCACAGTCCACCCTGGTGAGGGGGGCACAGTCCACCCTGGTGAGGGGGGCACAGTCCACCCTGGTGAGGGGGGCACAGTCCACCCTGGTGAGGGGGGCACAGTCCACCCTGGTGAGGGGGGCACAGTCCACCCTGGTGAGGGGGGCACAGTCCACCCTGGTGAGGGGGGCACAGTCCACCCTGGTGAGGGGGGCACAGTCCACCCTGGTGAGGGGGGCACAGCACTGAGAGCTCGTCTGTAACATGGGCGCACAGGATGGCAGCTCTCACATCTTAGCAGATGAAGCAAGATGGTGGAGCTGGGAGCAGAAGCAGGTAGGGCTTTAGAGGCCCACTCCGGGAGCTCATTTCTGCCAGGCCACACACAGGCCAAAGATGTCTGCGCCCTTCTGGAAACAGAAGCACCAGGTAGGGGCTGAATTTCAGACATGTGAGATTGGAGGTGGGGTCCATTCAAACCATAGCAAATATATGTTGTTATTATGATAGAGGCGGCCCAGGGTCTGGAAGAAGTAAATAGAAGGTGACCACTGCTGAGCTTGAGAGTCGAGAACAAACACTTCCAGGGGAAACGGTACCTAAGCATAGGGGGTGTCTAATAAAGTAGAATCGGTTTGGAAGAAGGCAGAGCAGACTGTACAGTGGAGAAAGAAGTGTGTGTGTGTGTGTGTGTGTGTGTGTGTGTGTATGTGTGTGTGTATGTGTGTGTGTATGTGTGTGTGTATGTGTGTGTGTGTATGTGTGTGTGTGTGTGCATGTGTGTGTGTGTATGTGTGTGTGTATGTGTGTGCATGTGTGTGTGTGTGTGTGTATGTGTGTGTGTGTGTGCGTGTGTGTGTGTGTGTGTGTGTGTGTGTGTATGCATGCGCAGGTGTGTATGTGCAAGCAGTAATTTGGGGAGATAACTTTTCACTCTTTATTTTGTGTTATATAGATGTTTGAGAGTAAAATGCAAAAAAAAAAAAAAAAAGAAAAAGAAAAATGTAGGCCAGGAGGTGGTGGAGCACACCCCTTCAATCCCAGCATTTGGGAGGCAGAGGCAGGCAGTGAGGCCAGCCTGGTCCACAGAACGAGTCTCAGGACAGCCAGGCCTGTTATATAGAGAAACTGTGTTAGGAAGGAAGGAAGGGAAGGAGGGAGAGAGGGAGGGAAGGAGGGAGGGAAGGAGGGAGAGAGGGAGGGAGGGAGGGAAGAAGGGAGGGAAGGAGGGAGGGAGGGAAGGAGGGAGGGAAGGAGGGAGGGAGGGAGGGAGGAGAAAGACCAGCACAGGAAGGAGAGGGGGCTACGGTTTCGGGGCACCAGCATGCACAGCGCTCCTCAGCTCCTCATGCACACCATCCCACCAACCCCTCAGACAGCACGACTTAGCAAGGACTCACATGACTTCCATTTGAGGAGATGGTGTTTTGCAACCTTTCCCTAATTAAGCTAACAGAATCAGGCTTTCGTAAAAAAGATAAATTTTACATGTAGTTAATTTCCTTATACATGGTTTAGATTTTTTCCCAATATTTTTACTATTTCTTCAGATTAAGAAAAATAATAACTGGGCACAGTGGTGTACACCTTTAATCCCAGCAACCCAGAAGCAAGAGGATCTCTATAGTTTGAGGCTGGCCTCACCTACATAGCAAGATCCAGGATAGTCATGGCTCCATAGTGAGACTGTATCTAAAAAAAAAAAAAAAAAAAGAGGTGTAGAGAGATGGATCATCCATTAAGAACACATGCTGCTCTTCCATAGGACCAGAGTGAGTTCCCAAAGCTCACATGGTAGCTCACAATCATGCAGGGGATCTGACTCTTCTGGCCTCTGTTGGCATGTGATGCAAATACATATATGCAGAAATATATATACATATATATATATAAATTTTAATCATTTTTTACTTATATAAATAAATAATTTTCAAATGGAGGAGAACTGGAGAGATGGTTCAATGGTTGATAGCACTAACCAGGTCCTCTGGAAGAGCAGCCAGTGCTCTTAACTGCTGAGCCTCTCTCCAGCCTGACAGTCTGATTTCATGTCTATTTCTTGTTCATAGTTAAGACTCAGGTACAATACAGAGTGCCTACCGTGGCTCAGTATAGTTTGTAACTCCAGGGAGTCCGACACCCTCTTCTGGCTTCAAACAGAAGTACACATGTGGTACACAGATTCACATGCAGGCAAAACACCCACACGCATAAAACAAAATAAAAAAAAAATTTAAAAAATTCAAGGGCTGGAGAGATGGCTCAGTGGTTAAGAGCATTGACTACTCTTCTAGAGGTCCTGAGTTCAATTTCCAGCAACCATATGGTGGCTCACAACCACCGGTAATAAGATCTGGTACCAACTTCTGTCTGCAGGGACACATGCAGGCAGACCATTGTATACATAATAAATAAATAAATTTTTAAAAATTCAAATAAATAATATAATAATTATTATTTAGTATTGAAAGCAAGATGATTTAAAACATCAACTTTGTTATGTTCTGGTTCTGTTTTATAATACTTTTCATAACAAATAAAAGGGACTAATAATCAGAGTTAAGCTGAATTACTTATATGTTGGTTAGCTACTATTCAAAGCAGACCACTCTTCGAAGATTAAATTCTTTAAAGGTTGGGAGACGATTTTATTAGAACAGGTGGGGATTGGAACACAAAATATGAGATAAAGTAAAGAATTGTTAACAAAACCTTTCCCTAGAAATAGTTTAGAAACTGGAAAGCAAACAAAAAAAAATACCAATGAAAACATCTGTTTCCAGAGCCAGATGGAATGATGAACTCCTGTGATCCCATCTCTCAGGAGGCTGAGGCAGGAGCATGAAAGGCAAGCCTGCTCTGGGAAGGAAGACCTGTCTCAAACAAACAAACAAACAAACAAATGCATATTTACAGAAAATAAACAAATAAAAATCTTAATTCTCCTTTAATCATAAAAAAGGTAATATAAAAAGTGACGGAACATAAAGTTATCAAATTACATGTTACAAAACAGTGTCATGTGTGCCTGCAACCACAGCAGTTTCTGGGTGGATGCAGGATGATCCAGAGTTCAAGGCTCAGCCTGGTCAGTCTAGACTAGAGTGAGTTCCAGGAAAGTCGGGGCTATGTAGAGAGACCCTGTCTTAAAAAAATTAATAATGACTTTGTAAAAGAAGGTGGTTGACAACAATATCTGCTGAACATACTTTAACAGATATCGACAGTATGACCTTGTGGATGTGTTTAGAAAAGTCTTAACAAATAAAAAGGGATCCACAAATTTCTCAACATTAAATTTAGCCGACTCTTTTCTTTATCACGTGTATTTCTTTTCCCTGAGTGCAGGTGTGTGAGCATACCACAGACACGTGTGGAGGTCAGAGGGCAGGTGTGTGAGCATACCACAGACACGCTTGGCGATCAGAGGCAGCTTGTGGGATTAGGCTCTTCCTTTCACCACTTCCAAAGACTGGACTCATCAGGCTTGGCACCAACTGTCTTCACTCACGGAGCCAATTTTTCCAGAATGTCAGAAACAATTATTTCAAACCTACAGTGAAAAATAAATAGCTTTGTTTTCAGCTAACATTTTTTTAACTCAAATTCAGGGGTGTTTGAGAGCATTAAAAACTTATGATCTACCCAGTCACTTCCCTCAAAACCGTTTTACGTGTTAAACGGGGAAATAAAGGGGGTAGCTCGCAGTGTTTTATATAAACATGTCATGAAGGGCTGTGGTCTTTACCGTCTGAGGTGATGGGAGTCGCGCCATGGTCACCCAAGGTCCCACCTGCACGAGTGTATTCATCGTCAATTTGTCGCTGTTGCTGCTTCTGCTGAGACAAAGCCCCTGGGAGATTTATTTAAAAGAAGGAAGACTTAGTTTGGCTGTCTGCTTCAGAGATGTCGGTCTGTGGTCACTCTGCCACTCCTTAGCACTGTGACTTATGGGCCCAAGCATCCTGACGCAGGACACTGGGAAGCCACAGAAGAAGGAGGCAGGGAGGCAGGGGAAGCATCAGGGGAACACACCCTGGTGACCTGCTTCCTCCACTGCAGTCCATTTAGCTAAGAATTCATGAATAGATCATCAATGGATTAAATCACTGGTGAAGACAGAAGCGTAATGATCCAGTCACCCCTCACTGGCACCAAGGGCTGGGGATCCTCTCCAACACACACAGCTTTGCAAGGGACCCTTCTCATCCAGCACCAAGCCAGCCCTCTGCCCCCGAGCCCTGTAAGTAGCTTAACGGAAGAAACGCCTGACAAATTGTCACAGAAAAATAAAATTACCAAAGTTGACTTCCAAAATGCAAATATTACTGAATGTCCTTCAGTCCTCTTGACCTCTATGGACAAAACATCAAAAAAACTCGAGTCAAATTACACAGGATGCAGACTTGCTTGTTAGTAGGAAAAGAACTCAGGGATAAAGTAAGTTCATTGGGATGGTTACTCAACTTATTTTAGAGACTGAAAGAAAGCAGCACCTTCAGAGTTTATTCAGGCAACACTACAAGCCTTATGCCTTTGAACCTGATTTTCAACCAGCAGAGAATGAGACTGAACCTCAGCCGTGTGACGGACTCCAGAACATTTTGTAAGCGCTCCAACTAGCTACCTAACATAGTTGTTAAAGCCAAAACGCTGGAAAAGAATCAGAAGTTGCCTGTGAAATGTTGAAACTGATAACTGGTGGAGTTTCGAAAAGAGATGCCTGGATTTTAATTGAAAATTAAACAAAATACACAGGTATAAATCTCTACGGTCAGCATCATATTCAAGTTATTATATCAGATTCAAATAATATAAGCTGGCATTGCATTTACGTGAAAATACCACCCCCTCTTTCCCTCTCCCCACCTCACCCACCTCACTCCCACCCACTGGGCAGTTTCATTCTGCCACATCCTGGTGCCTTGATGCCCTGGAGGGGTGCAGGGCTACAGCCATGGCCCCAGTGACTCAAGGACCCTGAAATGAGGTGAAAACACAGTCCCCCCTCAATTCCTTCCTCTCGAGTATCTGTGACAGTGACTAGAGCTAGCTCACACACCTAGGTTTCTAGAGACATTACTTTCCTGTTCCTAGCCCAGAGCACCGTGAGAACAATAATAAGTGATGGAAGTGTTTCCTCCTGCCCAAACTCCTTTCAGGTAGACTCAATGATTCCTGACAGGGCTGTAAATGGTAGAGACTCCTTGAAGTAAGAGTTTGAGCAAGCAGCTTGCAAGGGACTCTCGTTGTGGGATTCATCCACGTCGTCCTTTCGGCATCATATTGTGGAATATCTGTAACTGTTTCCCCTTCACCACGTCAAATTACAGTTTCCACGACAAGTACACTACGGTTTCCTAAAGACGTCAAACCACAGTCTTTACCGACTCTCCTGCCCTAAGGAAGAAATAATTTTATTTTTTTTCTCGTATATTTTTTATTTTATTTTTGAATATTAAAACAAAAACAAAACAAAACCAACAAACCCTAGTGAGATGCCTCTGCAGAGAAAAGCACTTGCTTCTGAGCCAGATGACTTGAATCTGATACCCAGGACCTTCATGGTGAAGAGAACAGACCCCTACAGGTGGTCCTCTGACCTCCACCTCTGCGCTAAAGCATGCACTGACCACCCCCTCACACACACACACACACACACACACACACACACACACACAAATGTAACTTTAAGAAAAAAATTAAATCAGCTCTTACAGTAAAGGTTAAACTTCTGTCAATAACACTCATCTGCCTTGTGACCAGGCTCACAGGCTTCTCCGCAGGGTACATTTTAAATCCTTTTCAGTGCTAAAATGGTCCTTGTCTCGCTTGCTTTCGAATAAATAGCAAACCCATCGCCGGCTCACTCTGCTTTAGCACGCACACATTCACGCTAGCCTCCTCCTATACTTGAGGGGATTTTGTTTTTCCTTGAACACAGCATTTCCGGTGCAATCTGGACACCGTGGAGGACACAGAGCCGCACCTCGGAACACCTTTACCACTAGCGGGCGAGATCATCACGGCTGGGAAAACTCCTCATTTCCTCACGGGAAGGGAGTGTAAGAGTAAACATTCCGACTGCTGCGAGGTTTTGTGGATTCTCCCTGAAGCCCAGAACACCGAGCAAGCTGTGCCGTGAGTTTTAGATTGTGTGTTTATATAGGAGGTTTTGGGAGGAGGCCAGCTGGAATTAAGGGAGAAGCGACCAGACTGCCTCTCACGCTGCCAGGGCCTTTCAGGTTCCTGTTCTGGTTTTCTGTGATTCTGTGAGGAGCTGGTACTCAGAGATAGGCTGATGGCGCCTGAGATAAGCTGTAGAGATGGGAAGGGGAGAGGCTGAATTAATTCCAACTGTTTAAACTGGGGTAGCTTTGTAGAGAAGGTAGCGTTTGACCACAACCTTAAAAACAGGCGCTCTTTCACGAAGGAGGACCGGGTGGAAGGCATTTTAGAAGGATACCATTCAGTAAACAGTAACCCAACTGAAAAGTTGAGCCACCTGGGCCAGAGCGTTTCCAGTTTAAGCTCAGCCTTGACTACATAGCCAGAGCCTGCTGAAGAGAGACGGAGACAGAGACAGGCAGAGAGACAGGGATGGGGAGGGGCTGGGGAGGAGGGGAGGGAACGTAGGGAAAGGGGGAAGGGGAGAACAGTGGAGTATTAAAGTCATCATTATTGCTGTGTTGGGGTTAATCTGTAACTTTATATTAGTAGTGTCTGTCTTATAAAATTGGATGCAGCCATGTTCAGGGCATACATATTTAGAACTGTAATGTCCTCTTGACGGGTTGTTCCCTACTTTGGATGACCTTTTTCTCTTCTGAGAACTTTTGGCTTGAAGTCTATGTTGACAGAGAGCAGAAAAGCGATGCCTGCTTATTTCCTAGTTTCGTTTGCTCGGAACTCCCTTTCCCATCTCTGCAGACAGGGATGACTTGACATCTGCAAATCAGATGAGTGGGCTGAAGGACAGAAGTCTCACCATCGTCTTAATGGATGCAAGAAAAGCCTTTCACAAAATACAACATCCCTCCATCACGATAAAAGTCCCGAAGAGACCCAGAATATTGGGAAAACACCTCAACATAAGAAAGGCCATACACAACAAACCTGTAGAAAACATCATGCTGAATCAAGACCACGTAGCCTGTGTAATGGGCAGTAATCAGTAATACTGTACCACTGAAACTATGTACCAGGATTCTCTTCATTGTTGACCTCACGTACCTCAGGCACTGCAGAGACTTCTTTTTTTAATTTATTAGATTTTTAAAAAATACCAATCCAAGTTCCCACTCCTTCCCCTCCTCCCATTCCCTCCACACACACTCCCACCCCACCCCTGCCAATCCTCAGAGAAGGTAAAGCACATTGCTTCGTGGAAGGTCCGAGGCCCTCCCTACTATATCTAGGCTGAGCAAGGTATCCATCCAAAGAGAATAGGATCCCAAAAAACCAATACATGCAGTAGGGATAAATCCTGGTGCCAATGCTAGTGGCCTCTCAGTCTGCCCCATGCAACTGTCAACCACATTCAGAGGGACTAGTTTGGTCCTATTCTGGTTCCTTCCCAGTTCAGCTGGAGTTGGTGAGCTCCCATTAGCTCAGGTAGACTGTTTCAGTGGGTGTCCCCATCATGGTCGTGACCTCTCTGCTCATATTCTCATTCCTCCCACTCTTCAACTGGACTTTGGCAGCTCAGTCCAGTGCTCCGATGCAGGTCTTGCAGAGACTTCTTTATGGGATAAATTAACAATTATCCCACTCCCCTTCCATATAAAAAATGTTTCCTTTGGCACACAGCCATAACCTTCCCTTTTCCCAAAGATCTATTTATTTTTATCTTATGTGTGTGGGAGTTTTGCCTGCATGTGTGTCTGGGTGCCATGTGTATGTATGGTACCCACCGAGGCTAAAAGAGGGTGTGGGTCCCTGGGATTGGAGTTACAGACAGCTGCGAGCCACCATACAGGTGACAGGAATGGAGCCAGGGTCCTCTGAAAGAGCAGCCAGTGCTTTTAACCACTGAGCCATGCCTCCAGCCCCACCTTGCTATCTCGAAACAGTGGTGAGCTACCCTCCAGTTCTGCTCTCTGCCCTCTGGATCTAAAAAGATGAGGTGAGCTGGAGGGCCATCGGAAACGGTATGTTTTCAAGTTGTACAACATATTCTTTCTGTTTCCTTTCTTTTTTGTCTCTTGCCATTCCCCTTCTTACACAGTATGTCTATTAAATAGTTTACTGGTTACATATATGTTCGTGTAAGTTCCTTATCACTTTGAATATGCTTATTAGTCTTCGCTCTCTAGTTCTGAGGGGGAAATGAAGCAGTAGAACACAGTACTAACGCTGCTTTCATTTTGCTAAATTCTCACCACTAAAGATTCTAGTCTCCCTTGGAAATACGTACTTTTAGTTAAAAAATAAATATTTATCTTATTTTAGGTGCATGAGTATATACTTACATACTTATAGGTATATGCATAGGTGGATGAGTATATACTTACATACTTATAGGTATGTATGTGTACCATGTGCTTAGAGATGCATGAAGAAGGGGGTGTTGGATCCCTAGAACTGGAGTTATAGACAGTTGTAAGCAGCTGTGTAGGTGCTGGGAACTAAACCTGGGTCCTCTGAAAGAGCAGCAAGCACTCTTAAGCACTGAGCCATCTCTGCAGCCACTGCCTTGGAAATGTTTTAATTGGTTTTTCTATTTATTAGCATTTCAACACTATAAAGTATTAGATTCATGATCATACTTGATTCATGATCATACTTATTAAGGTGATTATAGTAAAGCAATCAATCATAAATATGTACCTATTGCCTTTGAACTCTCAGAGTATTTGATAAATTTTAATTTAAACAATGGACCTTACTAAAGTATACTTTGCTTAAGGTCCTGCTAGAAGTAAATCAGAACATATTGATAACTCTAGCACTTGAAAAGTTGAGGTGAGCACATGCACTGATTGGAGGAAGACCCCAGCAGAGGCCTCCGGAGACACAGGTTCCACCTGCACCAATTGGAGGAAGAATCAACATCTGTACCTATAACTACCCCAAACCCAGATGTTGACGAAGTGTAAGAATACATTCAACAACATAAAGAGCAGTATGGTACCGCTAGAACATAGTGATTCTACAACAGGGAGACCTGAGTATCCCAACACAGATGAAGCAGAAGAAAACAACCTTAAAATAACTTTATGAAGATGATAGAGGCCCTAAAAGAGGAAATGAAAAATTTCCTTAAGGAAATCAAGGAAAAGACAAACAAAAAATTGGAAGAAATCAACAAATCCCTTAAGGAAAGCCAAGAAAAAAAAATCAAACAAGTGAAGGAAACAGTCCAAGACTTGAAAATTGAAAAAGAGGCAATAAAGAAAACAAAAACTGAGAGAATTCTGGAAATGGAAAATCTGGGTAAACAAACAGGGACTATAGATGCAAGCATCACCAACAGGATACAAGAGATGGAAGAGAGAATCTCAGGCATTGAAGATACAATAGAGGAAATAGATTCATTGGTCAAAGAAAATGTTAAACCCAACAAAGTCTTAACACAAAATATCCAGGAAATCTGGAACACCATGAAAAGACCAATCTTAAGAATAATGGGGATAGAAGAAGGAGAAGAATCCCAGCTCAAAGGCACAGAAAATATATTCAACAAAATCATAGAAGAAAACTTTCCTAACCAAAAGAAGGACATGCCTAGGAAGATACAAGAAGCTTACAGAACTCCAAATAGACTGGACAGAAAAAGAAAGTCCTCTCACCATATAATAATCAAAAACTAGCCAGGTGGTGGTGGCGCACGCCTTTAATCCCAGCACTCGGGAGGCAGAGGCAGGCAGATCTCTGTGAATTCAAGACCAGCCTGGTCTACAAGAGCTAGTTCCAGGACAGGCTCCAAAACCACAGAGAAACCCTGTCTCGAAAAACCAAAAAAAAAAAAAAACAAACAACAACAACTAAACATTCAGAATAAAGAAATGTAGCATGACTAATAAAAACCCAGAGACAGATATTAGAGTCCAAGCTGAAGATCAGAAAAGCAAAGCAGCCAAGCCACTAGAAAGTTCTTACCTCTACCAAGACTCAGACAAACAAAGGGGCAATCCTAACCTCAGCCTGACTGCAGACTGCAATGCTTTCCACCAGACCTCAGACTGCCATGAGCTCCTGGCTCCTCCTGCCTTATATTCCTCTCTCTGTTCAACCATATCTCTCCTGTCTCCATCTCCCTAGTGCTGGCGTGTGAGTTCTCTTTCTCTTTTTATACAGAGTCAATCTTGTGTAGCCCAGAATGGCCTTGAGTACTGGGATTAAAGGTGTATGCCACCACTCCCTGGCCTCTACTGGCTTAACTCTGCACTCTGATCTTCAGGCAAGCTTTATTATTAAAACACAATTAAACTACCACTTTAAAGAAAGAATATTGAGGCAGGCAGTGGTGGTGCATGCTTTCAATCCCAGCACTTGGGAGGCAGAGGCAGGCAGATCTCTGTGAGGCCAGAGCTAGTTCCAGGACAGGCACCAAAGCTACAGAGAAACCTTGTCTCGACAAAAACCAAAAAAAAAAAAAAAAAAAAAAAAAAAAAAAAAAAAAAAAGAAAGAAAAAGAAAAGAAAGAATATTAAGAGCTTCAAAGGAAAAAGGCCAAGTAATATATAAGACAGATGTTTGCAGACACTAAGAGAACACGGATGCCATCCCAAACTACTATATCCACCAAAACTTTCAATAACCACAGACGGAGAAAACAAGATATTCCATGACAAAGCCAGATCTAAACAACACCTATCCACAAATCCAGCTCTACAGAAAGTACTAGAAGGAAAACTCCAACTCAACGAAGTTAGCTGTGCCCACACAAACTCAGGCAATAGGTAATCCCACACCAGCAAATCCCAAAGAAGGGAAACACACACACACACACACACACACACACACACACACACCAAAAACAACAAAACCAAATAATATTAGGAATTTAAAATCATTGGTCATTAATATCTCTTAATATCGATGGATTCAATTAGCCTATTAAAGAGTCACAGGCTAACAGAATGGATATGAAAAGAGCATTCGTCCTTCTGCTGCATCCAAAAGAAGCTAAGGCAGAAGGATCTCAATTCTAGGCCGGAGACAGAGTCTGGCAGACCTAGAGAAAAGGACATTTAAGAGGGATGGGAAATAGAATCTGGAAGAAGCTGGATAGGTGGCAGGCTGCAGTAGCCCCAGAGGAAGAGACCTTGAGTCTACTATTCCCAATACAAATCCCACACTGAGGGCGGCCTCCAGAACTGGTCTATTGGTGAATCTTTCCACTGAGCTCTTCAGTTTGGTTTTCTTCAATATTTCTATCTCCTTTCTGAATTATAAATACTTTCTTATTTGGTTCAGCTGTTTGTATTCTCACAGAATTAATTTAGGAGTTTATTTGTGTGCTCTGGTTTCTTTG